CAATATTGCAAACTTAGGAATGGATGACATAGAATAAGTCAAAACCTCAAATTGAATGTACAATAACAAAATTAAACACTAAATTAAGTTCATTATGTTACGCATTCAGGATTCTTTCAAATTCTGTCAGCTTCATGCAGCTGTTGCATGTATTTTGCAATGTACATTCCCGCCTGAGATATGGCCTAATATTCTGGGGAACTCTCATGTAGTACTCAGACCTTTAGATTTGCAAAAGAAAATTGTTCGAATAATGAACAAATTCAATCCTCGTGATCCCTGCAAGCCTCTCTTCATTGAGCTTGGAATCTTACTGCCCCTTGCCTATATATTTATAAATTTGTAATATTTGTCAAAAGTGACTTACTTAACGGTCGAAACATATTTTCATGCAATACTAGTATTTATAATTACAACCACGTCGTAAAAACAACGTCATCAAGTGCCAGTATCAAGAGCTCACAGCTATCAGGGAATCCACTATATATGCACGTTACTTTACAAAGCATTGCCAGATGACATTAAAAATTGAGTCGATTCACAAATTTAAATAAAAAAAAAAAGCTTTTCTGCTGCATAACTGTTTCTTATACAATTAGAGACTATACTGATTATCAAAAGAAAATTTATTTTAAACAAAACAGTGATATATATGAATAATTTAAATTGTATTGTAACATTTGTTTAAAAAGACTTACAATTTTTGTAACAAATAATGTACCTTCAGCTTCCGGGTCAATGACCCGCCATCTCGATCAGGTTTTTTTTTTTTTGTTCAGTTTCCCTGATCCATTGCGTAAATGCCGAGATTGCCCCTTGTTTGCTTCTAGTACTTCTGTAACTGTAGTTCACTACTTCGTTTGCGCACTTTTTGTTGAACTCTCTTTTACTTGTAATGGTAGGTTAGAGGTAAGGAAGTGTACTATTTTGATAGCACATGCAGAAAAATCATACTTGCAATTCGTTTACCATCCAAAAAAAAATTTTCTATTACTGGAACGAAAATGTCAATTTTTTTCAAATATTGCTAATCTCAAGCTTTTTAAAATTTATTTTATTTATTTATTTTAAAACTTTTATTCATATTTCAATATTTATAGTTAAAATGACGGGATGGGATTCTGGAACTCAAGAAAACGTGCGCAGATAATCTCACGTCGTCACATACAGTTTTTACTGTTTTTTGACTAAATAAATCTAAGTCTCAACAACAGCTATTTTCATACCTGAAATATGGTGGGCAGCCTCTTCTTGAAGCATTGCCATTGCATGACGTTTGCTGAATAGTAAGCAAAGACACATTGAATTTATGAGAATTCAGACGGTAAGCGCATTATGAAAATAGTGGAATAACACAATCAATTTTTTGCATTTTCAGTCGAAATCGAATTTGTATATGTTACTTTTTTGTACAGTGCATAAGACGGAATACAAGCAAGATAAGAAAACTTATGATATGCAGCAGAAAATCGATTACAAGATTTGTAAAGAAAAAAACGCGGTTTTGCGATCGCCTGATTCCAAAAGTCTCTTTTTATTTTATTTTTTCGTTCGTTCGCCTCAGCTGTCCGCCTATTTGTTCGTTCGTTCGTCTGTCCGTCTCTTAACAACACGGGAGTCTAAACTATACGTAGGATTTTTTGCAAAATTAATATTCCACAAGCAATATGCTACGACTAGAGTCCCTACGGATTTCAAACGAATTCTTTGAATTTTGAGAGTTCTCTCTTTTCTTCTCCCCCCCCCTCTCTCTCTCTGTCTCCTCTTCTCTCTCTCTCTTCTCTCTCTCTCTTCTCTCTCTCTCTTTCTTTCTCTCTCTCTCTCTCTCTCTCTTCTCTCTCTCTTTCTCTCTGTCTCTCTCTCTTTCTCCCTTTCTCTGTCTCTCCTCTCTTTCTCTCTCTTTCTGTCTCTCTTTTTCTCTCTTTCTCGTCTCTCTCTCTCTCTCTCTGTCTCTCTCTTCTCTCTCTCCCTCTCCTCTCTCTCTCTCTCTCTCTCTCTATATATATATATATATATATATATATATATATATATATATATATATATATAAATGTATGTATGTATGTCTGCGGATCCGCCAGTGCTCTGTAGTTTGTTTTGCCTACCCTGAGAATTGCACAAATGTTCACGTACCGCCACAAATAATGGAAAGGGGAAATTCTTTGAATTATTTTATTATATACAATCCCTCACGACGCCTCCTGCGTAACGAAGGAAGTTTCCTCTTGACACCAGATTAAAATTTTCAGCAAAAGTGAGTGTAGTCTGAGTTGTACAATTACACATTATTAGTCCACTCATTTTTTTAAATTACACTAGTCAATATTTCACAACCAAAGTAATACATTAGTCAAAATTACAGAATCCATAGTCACTGATTTCTATATTATATTAGACTGAACGTCGATTGCACTCTTCTCTGTCTGTTGTCACTCTAGACAACAATGCCCCCGGAATTTTCTCGAAGCAATATTTCAATTTTGTTCTTGTCGCGCTCCTGGAGCCTCCAGCTCAACCCGAGCGTTCGCGACACACCGTCGCTGTTATCATGCGTGAGCAACGTGCTTGCTCAATTCGTGAGATGCCTCCCATTTCCATTTGGTGTCTCGTGCCGCATCACACAATCCTGGATGCCAGTTCGTTTTCGAATTTCGGAGCTTCGGATTCTTCCTTTAGGGTATACGCGTTAAATTTTCTTCTTTCCATTGGTTTATCCTCAGCATATTCTTCTTTGCTCTCATGACCACGTCTGGGCTTCGTAAATCAAGACCGCAGAATACATATATGCATTACTTCTCTTTTATAATTGCTTCAGCCAAACATAATAATTCTTTCGAAATTATTTTTCATTAAACAAATCTATTCCACTGCATTTCTACACACTTGTATTTATGAGATAGTAATACAAAACGTTTACGACGATTAATATTTTATATCAATACATTTTTATAGTTATATGATTGTGAAAATTCAGTGAATCTCTAAATATTAGGAGAGGGTCATTTGCATCCCCCCTACCACTCTCCATAAGTTTGAAACGGGACACTATTTTAGTCTGGCTTTTGGTCTGATAGTAATCCTCAAACTTCAAAAAGTATTATTTCCTAAATACGACATTCGTCCTGTCTCATAAATCAACTGAAGCTCAAGGCTCGTGAAGTTATTGCATCCAGAGCTGATTTATCCATAGGCCAAAATAAACATGCAGTGTCATAGGGGCCATGCCACGCCCCAAAATAAATGTCATGATCTTCAAATAAACAAGTATTTCGCTTTGTAAACACGAATTAAAATTAATTTAAATAAAAAAGTATATGTTCCATTCTATAAGCCATTTGTTTATTTTTATTTGTTTTAAAAGTATCGTCGCTTTTTAATCAATCTAGACGAGTTTTTTTCCGGGAGAGGGGGGGTGCTTGGAGGCCCCGCTGTACCTACATCCGGTCCTATTCAGCAAACGACATTCACATCTCTTAGAAAGATTGTGTGTTATTTCCGCAGGTATCATTTACTGAAGTGAAGATGAAAATCTATGGATGTTATAAATCTATTTCATACACATTGAAAATTTTGCGGCGCTTTAAAAAAAAATGGTATGAGGAAGTGCTGAAAAAAGAAAATCACTGTTTGCTGAAATACTCCATTCGAAAACGATAAATGCTTGATCTCCTATTTTTGTAGTACAATACGCGTTCAGTGGTACAATTTAGTGATTTATTTAACGACAAAAATATCAATTACAAACTGCGTGACGTATTGGAAAATTACGGAATAATTTATAAACTCTCAGAATCGAAAATTTCATTATTTTAGTTTAAATTTGACAGGTTATGACACTTAGTTCAAGACACTATACTAATAACTGGATCCAAAATACTAATTGGTTTAATGCAGCTACTTTAACATCAGATTACATTGTGTCAGATAAGTAAAGAACACGTATTCGTGCGGGTGATGTTCAACTAGTTGTTATTCATTTTTACTTTAACAATATGCGTTACTACAATGTTAAATGTGATAAAATGAAGTGTATTTCAGTTTTAAAATAAAAGTTATTTTTTAATTATCATTATTGTGTGGAAATATTTTCTCGTCATGTTTATTCGTTTTTTAGTACATCATCGTTTCTTGAGACATCAGTAAAATAGTACTCATTGCAGAGAACCATTCCATCATTTGTGGACTCCTTATCTTCGTGACTGAATTAAACACGTGCCACATGAGAACCATACACAAGATATTTGAAGAAAGCGACAAACAAGTCTGGTGGTAGAATTATGTATGTAAACCAATGAAGTTTGCACTACACCGAAAGAAGAAAATTATTCTTAAACTTCTACATCACGAAGGGACCGCTGTTCTTGTGTGTGTTTTCACTATGTGAAAGAATTCTTGAATTCGCCTTAAAAGGTTTGTCAATCTTTTTATTCGTAAAATTATTTCAACCTATCAAAGTTGTTTTAGTTGATATTAACTTTAAAGCGATAGCTCTAATAAATTCGTAGTACTTATCATATACTTCTTTGTTTAGAGACTTACTTATAACAATGCATTTTTGTTAATTATTACCCATTGTTGCTTTAGCGCTGCTAGATAAAAAAAACTTCGGCAAGCAGCTCGGGATGAATTCGGCATTGCGGACAACTCTCAGGCTTCTTGCACGCTTAATTAAACTAAATTAGACCCCCCTCTCACGATAGGGTACCAACTCTATTGCAAGAATATTTCCCGAATAATGACATTCTTCGTCGCACCAAAAGCGATGATGAGACTCCGAAACATTATT